GTCATTTGGTTGCGATTCTTGAAATGCTTGGGTTTAGATTCCATTGGCAGGCTGTCATCAACTTTTTCAAGGATCGTGGCCCGAAGCTTCTCGTCCAGCAGGACAGCCTCGCAGACTTGGGCTAGCTTGCAGTAGCAGACTCTAAAAATTACAGAGTCCAATCGTACAAAAGTCGCGCGTCTCAACCGGTTGCTTATCGGCACCACGCGCTTTGCAAAGATACAGCCTCTTTGCCCTATACCTGTAACCGCAACTGCCAACGGGTACATGCGAACTCAGGCAGATAGCTCGGGCTTTCGCAGTCGGCTTTTTAAAGGCTCGTGTGTCGTCAGAGAAGCAGTCCACGCAAGCTGTCATGCTGCCACGCACTCCGCCCAGGCAGCTCACTTAGGGCTTCCTGTGCCAACGCAAAGAGTGGGATTACATCCGGTCGACGAACTCGGTACCAACTTGTACAAAGATTCAATGGTATGTACACAGATAGCATATTTTTGGTATGGCAATGTCTGTGACGTAGAATTTGATACACACTACATAGTCTGTAATATAATGTATTGTATCTACTATGTACTACCTAATACCAAATATTCATTATATAATATGTATATGTACTGCTACTATCTACTATCTCCATGTGCTACCTACTATTTTTTACTATCTCTGCTCTCTCTGCTATCCAACCTCCAACGTCCAATATCCTATACCTTCCTTTCCTTTAAAACAGACCTAAGACCTCAGATCTGACATCTTCTAACCAGTACGTAACACCCATATCTCATATGCAGTATCCGCGAACATCTGTTATCATTGTCTATATTGTCTAATATCGAATATCTAATCTCTAAGATCAAAGATCCAAGATCGAAGATCCAAAACAGCAGGTCTAACATCCAGTGTCTCGTGCCTCATGACTACTAGCTAATGGCTACAGGCTAGTATGTACCATTTAATATCAAATTTCCACATGTATGAATTATAAGTAAATGAATAAATGCATATTGGCCACTCCCGATCAGACGGTATCCCGATACCGATGATTACTGGCGGCTATCTCAGCTACACAATTCTCCGATCGCAGGCTTTTCAGGTAGTTGCACGGAATTCGGAAAATGAGGCAATCAGCTGACGTGTGCATGGAATGCACGGGTTTTGGGGTTAGGGTTAAGGAATCAGGCTTTGGGTGTCTGGTAATAGGTGCAGATAGGTTTAACAGTTCTGGGGCACCTTCAGAGCAGACCACAAAGCGTCGAAGTCAAAGTCAAAGTCAACGGTTGGTTTGTTTGTATGTTTCGGGCGAGTTTTTGCAGGGTTAGGGTTTGACGAATTTTTAGGGTTTAAGACATTCTAGTGGTGTGCTGGATAGGCATTTTGGTGATGGGAGCGCAGGGCAGGCTTCGGTGGGCGAATTCGCGGGCGCAGGTTTTGTTCGGGCCTGAGGGTTTAGGGGGCAGGGTTTGCGCACGGTTCGGGTTTAGAGCTTAAGAGTGTACGCGCGGCGTGGGTTTTTGGGGCTTAGTTCGGGTTTGTTTTTCAATTGCAGATTTGTGCACTGTGTCTGCGAGCCTATCGGGTTCAAGTTCCTTTAGCAGTCGTGTTTACTTTGATGCTAGCGACAACGTGTACGTGTAATGTTGCGACGGCGACCTCGACTAGTGCTACTACTGCTGCCGCTACCGCTACCGCTACTGCTACTGCCACTGCCATTGCTTTGTACACCGAAAAGCCTGGGTAAGTAAACAAAAACAACCAAAAATCCACTTGGCGAAACCACTTTTCTCGGGTTGCGGCCTCAAGGGTTGTGTGCAGGTTAACTCTCGGCTCGAACTGTATTTGGGGACTCGGGTTTAGGGGTAGGTAACTTCAAGCCTAGCTACAGTTTAGTAGATGATCTCCCCAGCCACCCCGTCTCATGGTCCTGTACACGCTTGCGGATGTGGAGGCGGTAGGGTAAAGTCGTCGGGTGTTGAGGCTTGCCGTTCGTAAGTGTGTGTTCTCTCTTCTCTCAGGGTTTAGGGTTTTAGGGTTTAGAGTTTTGGGCGTGAAGGTTTTTGGGTTTAAAGTTCAGCGTTTACGGTTTTAGGGTTTTGGTGTAGGTATTGGGGTTTAAAGTTTAAGTCGCGCTGCTTTGTTTTGTAGCTGTGGATGTGGTCTGGGTGAGGATTTCGGGCTTCTTTGGCTTCCGCTCGGTCAGAAGAGTTGCTTCTCCGGCCGGCCAGGGTGCCTAAAAGCAGCTGAGCTCTTCAAGGCGTTTGCAGAGAAGGGGCTTGCCCAATCCATACAATATCAAGCGCCCCGGCACCGTGCTGCATGGACGTGCTAGTCGTATCGCCCGCCAGCCCTGCCGCGCGGAATACGACGCATATTCCCCGTACGTCCAGCCGCATGGTATCCCTCCAAACGGTGTCGTATTCCCCCACCAAACGCGCCGTATCCCCCCAGCCGTACCTACCACGTCGTATCTCTCCCTGCCCTCCTGAACGGCCTGAAGCCGATAGCACAGCCCACTAAATCCCCAGCCATGATACCTTCAACACCAAACAGGAAGCGCCACAAGCCCTATAAATCCCCGAACCCCAAACCAGCGGCTCAGGGTTCAGGGTACACGGTTTCCAGGGTACGAAAAGATGGCAGTTAAGATTTCGTGTTTGCAACGTGCTAAAGAAATCTTTCCAGAGTATCGCAGAACATATCATGTCGTATCGAACGAGTGTCGGGTTGTGGAATCTGGGTGCCACATCTGTACAGAGACGATTGAGATTCTTGGACGATGTTGATGAGGATGAATCAAAAGGCATGTATCGCTTGGTTCCTACACGGTCATTCGGCTGGGGCCCAATTCGGGTTGAGGGCAAGAGCGAAACGCTAATTCCGTCAATGTCGGATCCAGTAATAGCAACACCAACCGCAACCCATTTCAACGGCTCCGATGGCCAGAAACACGGAAAATCCAAGGTTTGGCAAGGATGGCTGCTGGAAAAGGGAGCACCCACCGGCAAATTCGACGATTTTCGTGGATTTGTGGGTCTCCATCAATTTCGACGCTTCCAACGGAAAATGGGGGGGGGGGCGGGGGTTGATTTTCTGTTGCAAAATGAAACTTATACAGTGTGCCATTTACATTAGGCCGCGGGTTATTGCCCGATGTATCGGTGCATCATTGACGCTAAGTTCAGGTACTGTGCAATGTTACCGGACAGAAGTTGAGTGTGTGCCGCTACAGGAGGGTGTGAGCCTGGTGGACTCTGATGGAGAGGACGTGCCTGTAGCACCGGAAGCCAGATACATACGCACTGCACACAACCTTTCATTGACAGGCGCCGCCAGATGTTGACATCCATCGAAAGCCTGTTACCCACTGACTCTTGGAGTGCAAGACGTTTCAAAGCAGACATTGTCAGAGAGCTTCACCGGACATCTACACGTCAACGTGCGCTCGGAGCTGGAACTTGTTTGCCACTGCAAATACTTCAACCCAAAAGCTTGGATGCGGTTTTACCTAAGATGATCAAGGACCTGGATCCGTGCAAAACTCCTATCTGTGTGGTATCTCTCAAAAGCCAGGTTTTTCGGAAACACCAGCAATCAGATATTGTGTCTGCCATCCAAGGCTGGGTCCAGGCGCTGCGCCTTCATGTCTGAGAAGATGATACCACATGCGAGTTTCAGCGCATGTTGAAGACGTAGTCAGCTTGCCATGTGAGCATAGAAAGAGAGCTGGGGTTATCCGAGTAATTATGCACGTTCGGAGCCGCGAGCTCACTGATCACTGCCATTGCTTCCCTGCAGTGTCTGGGTCTGCCGTTCCTGCCGGTTCTGCAGTACATCGCCTTCTTAAATCACGACGCTTGGTCAGTTAAGTGGAGACATGTGTCAACCTGTCCGTGCCTTACCGCTTCCCGCCCAAGATCAGCTGAACTTCATGTCCGCACGGGGTCCATCCCTTTCACAGCTGCTCAGTCTTGAGCTTGCTCGGATGTTTCAAGAACCGTGTGCGCACGAGATGGCGTTTCAACTTACAAACTTTCTCTGCATCTAGGCTTGACACGTATGTATGTCTCAAGGATGCAGGCAGGATCAAGGCCATAGACCTGTAGCTGCAAAGCACTGCAACCCTGTTGAAAGCACGAAGGCCGAGTTTTGCATTCGGGGGGGTGTTTCTTTTGAAGCATACTCCACCCTCTGGACAAGTGTGGATCTTGTGCTGGAAGGCGAATTTCTGTCCCTTCCGGAGGTATCATGCACTCATAGATATGATATCTATATGCAGGAAGCATGCTTGTCCCTGCACGTCCCTTTTTGTTCTATCCTCCTGCCGCAGATGCCTCAGCCGCGCTCTTCAGCTGCTCAGGATGAGGTTGTGACGGACTGGCACGCGTGACTCTGGCTGTCTTCGGCCCAGCATGGTTGAGGCAGAGCTCGATTTCTGCGGGTCCGGGTTTTCTTCGCAGCCCAGGCGATGCAAGCTTGGGCTCGCGTAATCCTTGATTTGAAATGTGGGTTCAAGATGCAAGATGATGTATCGTCAGAGCCCGCCAGTAGCTGTGTACAGAGTCGGTTTTCAAGCTCTGGGCCTGGATTGTACAGCTTCCGTCGGCTGCCTGGGCGGTCCCCTTGGGATCTTTGCCGGCAGAGAGTTCCGCCAAGGCATTTGAAAAGACTGCTTCAGGAGCTCCTCTGCGTTGGCCGCCTCTATCAGGGATTGGCCTTGTCCTGTGGGGCTTAGCATGTCAGCCAGGACTCTGTGGAAAGGCAGCGATGGTAATTCCCTTGCCTTTTCGGCAGAGGGTTTTTATTTTCAGGCCCAAAAGGACATCATAGAGTAACGATAGACACCGGTGATGGCTGGGTTTCGGTGAAGTACATCTCTTGATGATCTTCGTCGAAGCCCAGGCACCTGGTTCAGCTCGACAAAGCTCCAGCGGGGCAGCGAAAAAGCACGGCTTTTTTTCGCAGCTTGTGGCCGAGCTCATTGTTTTGAGGGGCTACACCGCTCTGGACAGGCGCACCCCTCGCTCTTTAATCCCGGTGTTCGCGAGAAGGCCAGCTGCTCAGGACTGAGGCTGCTCACTGCTTTCAGACTTTCAGATGTTCTGCGCAGCTACGAGGCCTTGAAGCGTTCCCTCTCGCGAGCTTGAAACTGAGGACGCTTGGAGGCTCTGAGAGGATTTCTCGAGTGCTAGCGGCTGGGTGGCGTGTCGAGCCGAGGCGCTTGGCGAGGCGCGAAACCAAGTGAGCCACAGCCGTCTCGCAGCGGCAGCACCACTTTCGGAGGCCGGGCCGCAGAGAAGCGGGACTGCCCCGAGCGAGAGGGCTAGAGCAGCTAGGGTCTGTGGGACGTTTAGGAAGTTTAGCCGCCTTCGCTTGATGGGCTGGGATCCGAAAAATCTTAGGTTGCCCAAGTGGCGGCTGGCTCAGCGCTGGTGTTCCTTCGGAGGCCAGTCGCTGTTTCGAATTCATGACCAGAATCCCTGAGATGCAGGCTGTTGTGCTTTTTGGAGACACATGGGCAGAGTTTCGAGGAAAGGATGCAGTGATGCTTCCAGGCCCGACTCCCTCTTCCTGGAAGTCCCAGTCCAGGAGGACGTCTCTGCCCTCATCTGCGTCTCCGTGCCTAGAGCTGATCTCTGCTTTACCCGCATCTGCCTTCTGTTGCAGGAAGCGCTTGAACCTGACATGGAACCACCGGCAGCCAATCCAAGCGACGAGCAGGTTTGAAGTTGAATCATCGCCTTCATGTCTCGGCGAGCAGCTGATAGCAGTTCCTGTGTAACTGCTACGACACCCGATCACCCAATCTGATGAGCCATGCGAAGAGCAGGAAGGAACAGAGCAATGAGATTCAGTAGTCATGTGTTTGGATTGTCGTGGCCAGCAGGGCGACATCTTCGCTGCGCTACCGGCGGCGACTGCCTAAGCTACGGGGCATCTAAGCCTAAGCCTGGGAGAGCAGTGACCGCTCTTGCAGAGCAGTGGCGGCCTGCCATGAGGCGACAGCCCTGGCCCCGCCACTGGAAGGCGGCACTGCTGGCAACGCCGTCAAGGCAGGCAAAGAAGAGCAAACTGCACAGCAGTACTTTCAACGAGATTTTTCTGACGTTACGATGACTTCCGCTCGGCTTTCGTTTCTGCAGGACGTGCTCCTCCGCTGTCTGCCGGCCTTCCGTCTGGGTGTGACTGCCGAGACCCTGAGCCACATCCTTCGGCTTTCGGAGGCCCTGTGTTCCGTGCGGAAGCACCATCCCCACCATGAAGAAGCCTTGAAGCCTTGAAGGTCTGCAGGTTCACGGTGGCTGCTTCAGGGTTCGGTTTTAGGCCCCGATATGAGCATGTCACGACAGCTCAAAGTCGCTTGCAGCTCATGCAGCAGCTCAATCAGCCACTGTAACGTACAACAAAGCAAGTCGTTTTGCAACTCACAGAAGCTGCTCGAAACCCTGGCCCGAACCCTAGGCTCTAGACCCCCTAAAACAACCTGGAGCTGGGGTATCAGCGATGTCGCGGATGCCCGCCTACTGAACCCAAGACTCAACTTGCCTGTATCAGCCAAGCCGACATACTGTACTGAGTCTCGCCCCTTGCATTTACAAGGAATCTATACTGTAATTCGTGTCACAGGGCTCCAGAGAAACGAGTAGTTTACGGATTCACAGAAGGCAATGGTATGCAATGGTCAATAAGTTTAGGCGTTCGTTTGGTTAGAATGCCATTCACGCACATGTGCAGTGCGAGGGTCGATGTGAACAGGTTCATCCAGGGTTTGCCAGTTTTCAGTGGCGCGGGGCGCATATCACTGTTTTATGTTTGCCGTACAGCGACGGCACAACACGAGCCGCAGCGTTCCGCACGTTCCGCCTCATGAGTTCTCACTAGACCTGCATACGAGGCACCGGCTTTTTTCACGATGAGTCAGGGTCTCAGATGCCATAGCACGGCCTGGTGGCTCTCTGGGGCACTAGGTCCGTGCTAGGGCTAGAGCAAGGCGTTCATGCTGTGGAAATAGAAATCTGGGAAAGCAACCGTCGGACAAAGGCCACAAAGAAAAAGCCTTCGAGGCGCGGGCGTTGTCTGGATCCAGCGCAAACCCTAAGTGGGCAGACCGAAAGACTGCATTCGAAGTATGTGGAAGCAAGCCAGGCAAGCTAAGCTCGGCTTGGAAGCCGCAGGTTTCCGTTCAGTCCATTGCGGACACGATTGTTGCAGAATGGCCGCTGCCTCGAGAATCTGCATCGTGCGGGGGTGACTCTTCCCGTGCTTCGTCTGGCTTTGCGAGATCGAGGCTCAAGCAGCCTGACAGCCCCTTGCTGCGCGCATCGTGCATAGGCTCGGCGCCCTGGGACTTGTGAAGAAGGTGACTAGGCCCAGGCTTGTCTATGACAGGCCCGTCCTGCGACAAGGATAATTTCACGAAGGTAGAGTCGTCCGGGTTAGCAGAGAGGGAGTGGGATTTTCTGGGACTTGCATACCTTGTACATCCTTGTACCCTTGTTACTGGTAGATCCCTTCATCCTTGTATGCCTCATCAAGTCATACCAGGGAGGCTTTCTTTCGACCTCTGGGCCCCTGAGGTGTTTCAAAGGTCTCTTTGCTTTTGCTTGCTTCCATTGTTTGGGACCCTACCCTAAACCCAGACGCACTGCAGCTACGCGTCAGCGTTTGCGAGTCCTGATCTCTCGTCGTGAAAAATGCCTGGGCGAGGCTTGGGATGCGCTATGGACATCGATCACGATGACAAGGGCATCGTCATCGCGATTATTGTCGTCTGAGCTACGGCCCATTGCGAAAAGGGCGTGAACGTTCCAACGTGTCTGCCTTGTCTGGATCATCTTCTTTCCCTCCAGTCCAGAAGCCACTTCGACCCGGCAATTTTCTATCTTCTTGTCCCTGCCCCACCTCTCATCTCTCCAGAAGCCATCATCACTGTCGTGGCTTCTTGTCCTTTGTTTGCCTATGTTTGCATTTCAGAGTGAGGCTTCGCATGGCTGTGTTTGTCTGGCCCAAACAAGTGCCTTCCAAACAATGGCAGCCGGCCTTGCCACGGCCCGAGCGAAAGCCTGGCGAGGAACCGTGCAAAGCGTGGTCCGGCGTTGAGGTCCCTGGTAACCCAAGAGCCCGCACCTTGGCACGGCCATCTGCTGGATGGTTGCCTTGCAACGACGTGCTGTCTTTGGTGTCTCGTCTCTCCGGACTGAGGCATGGCATGTTTCGTTGCGCCTTCTGCTTGGCGGGCTGTGCAGGCAGCGTCGGGAGTGATCTGGCTGTTCGTATCATATGTTGAGCATTTCGCTATGGCTACTCTTGGCTATCCCAGTATCGAGTCTAGTCTTGCTTTTGTAGCGGGGCAAGGGCCGGCCATCTGCGAATGCTTGATTCTAGAGTAGGTGGAGGGGGTGAGGTGTGCAGTGGTGTTGAGGAGGAGTGGCTGTTTCAAGCGAATCCCGGTTGGGGGGGATGCTCAAGACTGCCAGATCAAGATGTGACTTCACGACTTCAGGACTTAACGTCACCCGATGTCTCCACTTGGAAATGTGTATTGAGAGGACCCGCGGCAAGCAGGTTTATGTTCACGCAGGGAGCCAAGCTGCTTATGTCGCGAGTTGCAGCATCAAGCCCGGTAGGATCAGGTAGGTGTGGAATGCAGAGGGGAGCTCACGGAAATCTAGCTGTCCGTCCGATAAGTCTGGCTCAGCTTGCCAGGGGAGTGTGTCGGAGAATTTTTGTAAGCCATGGCTCGCCGTTCTCCCCTGTCCCTTATCGTCGCCCTGGCACTGGCCGCAGTGGCCGTGCGATTCGTGGGCCCTGCCTTCGCCCCGGGGCTCAGCAGACGCGATGTGCTGGCTGGCCTGTCCGCGGCAACGGTGGCCACGGTGGGCACGCAGGCAGCTTGGGCGGACGCCCAAGGCGAGCCCGTCACGTGCCTCGCTCGCTACGGGCCCCAAGTCTTGGGGTTGAAGGCGGCCGTCGAGAAGGGTGACATGGAGACCGTGCTGAAGAAGGAGCCAAAGTTCAGGGCACTCAACAGCTACTGGCGCAACCAGCCCGGATTCTTCGAGAAGAAGGCGGAGCTTTCTGAAAAGATCATGGAGGCTGCCGATGCTGGCAAGAAGGACGAGGTGAAGAAGCTCTATGCCGAATATGTCTCGGATCCTGTCTTCGAGGCATTCAGGGTGCCAGTGAAGCGAGCCAAGAACACCGTCACCATCTACGCCTACGGCGCCGGCGACAGCGTGTACGAGAAGTGAGCGCGCCGCGAAGTGGCTTTTTTGACTAGTAGCTGGCAAAGCTCCTGGCGACTTGGCCGTCTCAAACTGGGGCAACCTGCTGAGGCGAGCAAAACGAGTGTTACACCCAGCCATAAGACATGTGTAAGTATAGTTATCGAAGTGGTTTGTACTGTAGGCAGTCTGAGGGAGTCTACCGTGGTAATGGAGTGTCACGCACTGTAGTGTGCATGCACATAAAACATAAGTTTGCTTACTGCACAAACACACAAGGCAAGATGCGAACACTGATGAGGTTGAGCTTCATCGGAGTCTCGCAAGCTGCAGGCGTGAAAGTATGAGAAATCCAGAGCAGCACTTGGCTTTGTTCAAAACCATTGCAAAATGTCATCAGACAGGGAAGGGACGTCTTCACGTATCAGAAAACATCAGCAGCCTCTGTAATTGAACTCTCAGCCGCTCGTTTGCCAATTCTCAGGCTGTGTTTTTTACGACATCAACGATTGCATTTGCCTCTTCGGGGAGCAGACTGCCCACGAAACACCTTCTCTAACATGCGCTCCGTGCTTGGGCGGCGCCGACTTCGGATGCACAGGGGAGCTCACGGAAATCTAGCTGTCCGTCCGATAAGTCTGGCTCAGCTTGCCAGGGGAGTGTGTCGGAGAATTTTTGTAAGCCATGGCTCGCCGTTCTCCCCTGTCCCTTATCGTCGCCCTGGCACTGGCCGCAGTGGCCGTGCGATTCGTGGGCCCTGCCTTCGCCCCGGGGCTCAGCAGACGCGATGTGCTGGCTGGCCTGTCCGCGGCAACGGTGGCCACGGTGGGCACGCAGGCAGCTTGGGCGGACGCCCAAGGCGAGCCCGTCACGTGCCTCGCTCGCTACGGGCCCCAAGTCTTGGGGTTGAAGGCGGCCGTCGAGAAGGGTGACATGGAGACCGTGCTGAAGAAGGAGCCAAAGTTCAGGGCACTCAACAGCTACTGGCGCAACCAGCCCGGATTCTTCGAGAAGAAGGCGGAGCTTTCTGAAAAGATCATGGAGGCTGCCGATGCTGGCAAGAAGGACGAGGTGAAGAAGCTCTATACCGAATATGTCTCGGATCCTGTCTTCGAGGCATTCAGGGTGCCAGTGAAGCGAGCCAAGAACACCGTCACCATCTACGCCTACGGCGCCGGCGACAGCGTGTACGAGAAGTGAGCGCGCCGCGAAGTGGCTTTTTTGACTAGTAGCTGGCAAAGCTCCTGGCGACTTGGCCGTCTCAAACTGGGGCAACCTGCTGAGGCGAGCAAAACGACTGTTTGGCGCAGTGCTGGGCCTCTCAGCTATTCGCCCAGCAACAAGCCACAATGTTCTCTACTAGCCGTTTTGTTCCTTCAGTGGCAGCTGAGGCTGGAACTTGAGCTGGGGACGACTCCTGCCTGGCGCATTCAAGCTGCATGTCAACTCTCTGCTCAGCTGTGCAAAAGGTTTAGCGTTGATTGCAGAATGTCTGTGTGTGAAGTAGCAGGCCCTCCGGTATGCAAGTGTGGCACCTTGAAGCTAACCTTCAGTCATCGAAGCATGCGGAGCTGCACAACCGCAACCTTTCAAAGGAGCATCCGCATTTAGGTAAGATGAGGGATGCTGCTTGTGAGAGGGGCAGGGGAGTATAGTTTCGCATTGCGAAGAAACTCCCTACTCCAGCCGTTTTGATTCACTGACGGTTATACTCGTCGTGCAACCTGCAACAGGGAACAAGCGCTCGTGTAGTTTTACCATGCCGCAACGATGTGCTACCGGATGCTGGAGTGAATGCGAGACGCTCTAGATTCGGGTTACCATGTGCACTTTCAGTTTCAGCAATGCCATATTGGAGTTCTTGCCAATTCCCAGAACTGTGACCACTGTTAATGACTATGACTGCCGCCAAAATGCGATGACTTTGTGATCTTTTTGCAACTGTTATGTTGCCGCTAATTCTGTTCACAATAGGGGTTGGTGGCTCATCATAGCATACGCCATTGTTGTTAGTTTTTCTGGGCCCACGGAGTTTGCTTGACTGGGGTTGGCTTTCTTGGGGGGCGGGACCCCAGAGGGCGGCACTAAGGCGGTCCAACCGCCGACGAGCACACTCCCCACAGCTGCCCGCAGTCCCCCCATGGGGCGACAGTGCCATTTCTGCTCTTTCGTCTTCTCTGCCTGGCTCCATTCATGCTTCCATGCGGCTGGTTGCTTTCGAACCTCGACCTGACGCTCTCGTGTTATCGTTGTGGCCGTCATCGCTTCCTGCATCCGCTGGCGGCGTGGTTTGGGCTGCTCTGTATGATTGGGCCCTTTCGCTCCTGCTGCGTGGCCGTTCGCCTCCTACGGCTTGACGGTGGTTTACGATAGGTTTTGACCTCTCCTTCTCGTCTCCGGCTGTGTGTGCTACCAGCCTGGACGTTCCTGCTTTGTCCTCGGCGTGGCTTGGCGCTGTCTCGCCTCCTTCAGGCCGCAACCCTGTGCGCTATTGGCCTGTCCTGGTGTGTTTCTGCTATGTTCTTGGCATTGCCTTTTGGCCGTCTCTCCTACCTCTGGCTGCTCCTTCGGGCCGCACCTCTGTGCGCTGTTGGCCTGTCCTCTGCTGCGTTCCTCTTTTGTCCTCGGCGTGGCCGTTTTGGCCGCTATAGTCTTAAATCGTGCTGCTTCTTCGGGCCGCGCCTCTGTGCGCTATTGGCCTGTCGTGCTGCCCTTCTGCTGTGTTTTTCTGCGTGGTTTTTTGGTGGGGTCGCGCCTTGTTCACTATTGGCCAGTTCTGCTGCCTGCCTGCTTTGTTCTCGGCGTGGCCTTTGGACGTTTCTCCGTGTTCCTTCTTGGGCTGCGCGTCCGTGTGCGATTGGATGCCATATTGGCCTGTCGTGATGCCTTCCTGCTTGCTCTCTTTCTTTGGGCCGCGCCTCTGTGCGCTATTGGCTTGTCCTGCCCGTGGCCTTTTCGCCGATACTCCTATCTCACGCTGCTTCTGCGAGGCCCTTTCTCTTCAACTCCTGCTCGCTCCTTCACTCGTGCTTGCGGACCTGCGTCACTCGTGCTTGCGGACCTGCGGCGGCTTTTCTGGCTACGTGCCAGCTGCCTTCTGCCCGGGGCTACTCCTTAGCTCTTTGCGGCTGGGCGGCGGCTTTTTTGGTTACATGCCAGTCGCCTTCTGCCAGGCCCTTTCTGCTTAGCTCCTGCTCCTTCACTCACGTTCAGGTGGGCTTCTGCCTTGGCCCTTTCTCGCGGAGTGGCGGTTCCCTTCTCCCCCTGTTTTTGCTACGTGTGAGCTGCCTTCCGCCTCCCTCCCTCGTCTTCCCTCCCGGCAACTTGGTCTGCATTATGCTAGGGCCCCTCTCGAACCCTTCACGGAGTCTTGCTGCTATTATCCACTTCCATTCCATTCCATTCCATTCCATTGTTGTTAGTATTTTCCATGTAGTTAGTTGTATGCAATTTGTAGCTTGCCGTCGAAAGCTAAACAGGGTTTTAACGTCACATCTGTTCTTTTGAAATCTCTGCTTGCTACCGCGCTTATAAAACTATGATGTTGTACT